TTTATCTTTTTTGTTTTAATTGATTGGTTACGGCTATTTTTCTTGTTTTAAAAATATGGTTTGTTTTTTATTATTTTTTGGTTGCCCTCTGGTGTAAATTCGTTTTTTTTATAAAAAAAGAAGTTTGTTGGAGATGGAAGTGATGATTTTTTCCCCAAATGATCGAAGCTGAATAAACTGAGCGATCTTTCTCTTCGGAGAATCCAAGCCAGGATTCTGATCCATCTCTCGAATTATTATTATTATTTTTTGGCTATTTACTGGTTATTTTATATCAAAATTATTAGTATTGGTGTGTCACTGGTCCAAAATTGTTGGTTTGATTGATTAATTTATTATATAATGCTGATATGAATTTTTGACTAGTTTATGATGTTAATTGAGTTGATATTTATTAGTGAGATGAAATAAATCCCTGTTGTTGACTTCTTTCCGTTTATATTGAATTTTGAAAGATGCACCAACTGCCGAAATGCATATGTTCTGGCAGACTTGGCTTCAAAGTCTGTTGCACCGAAATTGCACTGACTGAGCATATTGATGAAAGAAATGGATTTTAGTTTTTGTGGCATGTTCAAACCGTGCGGCTCTGATGGAAAAATCCTGAAAAATAAGTATAGAAAATCCATGAAGTGAAATTAAAAAAAATTCAAAGGAAAATTAGTAATTTTGTTTGTTTGTTTTATATTTCATAGATTTTTCGTTAGGATTCATTATATTATCTCTCTTTGTATAACGAGGAAAAAAGACAAGAAATATGCATATTTTAACATGTAATTTGCTATGATATGCCAAATCATCCGAAGAATTTGAACACTTGAAAGTAGCGGGATAATTTTAATCTTTTTATTGTTTCTCTTAACGCCGAGCTTGTTTCACAATTTTATTTTTGAATCATAATATTAGAAATGGATGGTAATGTTCGAATTTAATTGATCCAAATTTGGCCAATTGAAGTTGTTGGGTTAGCTTAATATATATTTTGTGATATTTAGGGTTTAAAATGGGATAAATAAATTGATTTGATTAATGTACGAAAATAAAGTACTATGAAGTTGCATGGGTAAAACATTATTTTTGTTATTAAATATCAAACATTTATGATTTTTATGAACGTATTCAATTCAATCTTTCTTCGTCCCTTTCAAAAGTATCCACTCGACTTGGCTTGACCAGCAATCATGTTGCATGTATGTCCATTGCAGCATGGACACGGTTATAAAAATTTAGGGTGGTGTCTACGATGGGTTGTTAAGTATTTAACGGTGGAAATAACATAATTATTTGGTTAAAAGAAATGTAGGAAAAATAAAAAATAAATGGTAGAAATGTTAGTAAAAATTGTGAATTGGAATGAAAATAAAAATTATATATAGCTGCATTTTATATGAAAGTGAGAATAAAAAAAGTGAATGAAAATAAAAATTACATAGATTTATTCATATAAAAAGTGAAATTCTAAAAGTAGAAACGACAACAAAAAAATAAAAATGGTTTTTTTGTAAAATAATAAAATATTTTATGTATTAATTATTTTTATTATTTGCTATAATTACTGTCTAATTAATTTCTTTTGGCGATGATAGTAAAAAAATTATTATTATTATTAATTTATCATCGTTCCTTCTCTATCTATTTCTATTTTATTATAATCACTATTATTATTGTCGCTTTTATTATTTTAATGTTATTATAATTGATGAAATTATTTTTTAATTTATTTTTATTGATATTAAAAACCATATATTAAAAAATTTAAATTTTATTTAATTTTTTATTTGTATTATAAAAATAATATGAGAATATAAGTATCATTTCCATTATTTCATTTCTATGTGGGATCTTTTATTCCTAGTAACTACACCACATTTTCGAGTTTGCCCTTATAATTTATTCTTTTGGTCACACTTGCTCCTATAGCCCATATGTTTTGTTATATTCGCCCTCACAGATTTATTTTCACACAATAGTGCGACCACCTAGTAGCATTGATGTTCCAAAAATACATATCATTAACAAAAAGTAAAAGACGTGTGGGTATTCTTTTGGCTTTTTTTACGTTAATTAGTTTAATTTATATATAAACATAGAGGTGTGTATATTTTTATGGGTAGTTCATGGTAAATTTGCCCTTTTAAGAAATATTATTGGATCCCAAGTTCTAAGAAATCTGTACATCTCAAGAAAGTGCCAACAAATTCTTCATTTTCACATCCAAATAGAAATATACGACTATAATGCGCAACGATTTTGCATCCTCCTTAGTAATTGCATGTGAGCATTCGTTCATGACTCTTAATGAACTTTTTTGATATTATAATACCAAAGCTTTCCATTCTTGGACAACAATGGTAGATTGGAGAGCTGTTTGTGGCAATGTTGGACCTTAATCCCACAACCAATCCAAGTCATCGAAGCTGTTATCCTATATACTAAAGCAAAACGGTTTTTTACTGTAGCAATGAACAATGAAAAGAGGAAGTCGTTTATTGTTCATATGAACAATAAACAAAAAAAAAAAAAAGGAGGAAAGAAGGCCACGTTTGTCAAAAAAATAAAAAATAAAAAAACTAAAGCACAGTAGCAATGAATATTTTTTTCGTTTATTGTTCATATAAACCGTAAACGACTTCCTCTCCCTTCTTTTTTTTTTCCTTTCCAAACATTGAACTTTTTTTTTATTTTTCTAATTTTCAATTGTTACTCGTTTACTTAAACAATAAACGTTGGCCCTCATTTAAAAAAAAAATTGAACTTTTTTTTAATTTTCGTTTCTTAATAATGTTAGATGTTAAAATTTTTTAAAAATCAATAATTTATTTATTTTATTATTTATTTCTAAAATTATCTTATATACTAAAGAAAACGATTTTTTACCGTAAGAATGAATAGTGTTAAATCAATGCTCATTGCTATCATGCTTTGTTTTTGTTTTTTTCGGCCAACATGGCCTTCTTCCCCCTTTTTTTCATTTACTGTTCATATGAACAGTAAACGACTTCCTCTCCCTTATTTTTTTTCTTTCTAAACATTGAACTTTTTTTTTTTTTTAATTTTCGTTTCTTAATAATGTTGGGTGTTAAAATTTTAATGAAACCAATAATTTATTCCTTTATTATTTATTTCTAAAATTTAAAAACATAAATAAAAAATAGTTAAATACAATTTTTTTAATGAAAAAATTATAATTATTTTTTTATCATAAAACAAATTATTAAATTGAAATAATTTTTCTAAATAATTTTATATACTTTATCTAACCCGTAACGTAACGCGAGTCAAAAATCTAATTATAACTATATAATAATTACTTTAGGAACATATTTTTGAAAAGAAAGACAGACACATGAATAAATAATTATATTTTAATTCATTAAAAGTGATAAAAAAAATTTAATTCATTGTTTTAACTAAATCCAACGAAAGATGGACTCTGTTAAATGTATTTAAATAATTAATAATACTTAACATGAGTCCTAAGATACTCCTCACCTTTTGCCTTTCTACTGTATAGACGGCTAAATGTTTATTTTCCCTTCTCCTGGCTACATTGATCTCCGGCTCTTTCTTTTCGTTTTCTTCTACTTTGATGAATATGACTTGATCTTCTATGCATATCATAAATTCATGATCATGCACATCTTTGCAAATTGAGTTATGCTTGAGCTACCACTACCGTGTTGAGCTATAGAAAATATGGGGTTCTTTACCTTAATTCAAAAATAATCTCCTATCTAATACATTCATAAATAGATTTTGTAATGCAAAACAATTTTTTAATGTAGCAATGAACAATGTACAGTACTTTGGTTTTTTTTTTTTAAATTTTCATTTTTTTTTGGCCAGCGTGGCCTTCTTCTCCTCTTTTTTTCTTTGTTTACTGTTTATATGAATAGTAAACGACTTCCTCCCCTCTTTTTTTTTCTTTCTAAACATTGAATTTTTTTTTTAATTTCCATCCATTATTGTTCAGTTGAACAGTAAATGCTGACCCCCATTTTTTTTTCTAAAAATTAAACTTTTTTTTTAATTTTCGTTTGTTAATAATGTCGGGTGTTAAAATTTTAAATAAATCAATAATTTATTTTTTTATTATTTATTTCTAAAATTTAAAAATACAAATAAAAAATAGTTAAATATAACTTTTTTGATGAAAAATTTATAATTATTTTTTTATCATAAAACAGATTATTAAATTGAAATAATTTTTTAAATGATTTTATATATTTTATCCAACCCGCGAGCATAGGATAGGTAAAAAATCTAATGATGACTAGACAAAAATGTTAGGACCTTAATCCCACAATCAGTATAAGTTATCGAAGTCATGATGACTAGACCAATTAACTCTTGTCTCACCTCAAATAATCATCAAGACTAAACAAATTAATTCTAGTATCATCTTAAATAAGTGAGTTCAATGTTGTCAAAGTCTAAGAATTTTATAATTTCTCGTAAAAAGGTTATTATAAATTATTTTATAAAAGAGAAATAGATATAGAAAAATGAGAAATAATTTTTTTAAAAAAATTTAAATATATGTAAAATTTTTTTTATCACTTTTATTAAATTCAGATTTATTATTATTATTATTATTTTTTGTATTTATCTCTCATTTCAAAAACAGGTCAATAGAGTAACTGAAACCATTACCTTATTTGGTAAGATGCTTATGGTATAAGATTCTTTTTTATGTCTACTTTGTCATTTATCATTTACTTGGCAAATTACCAAAAAAAAGAATTAATGTATTTTTATTATAGATAAATCAGATAGTAGAGAGTAGAGACCCACTATCTTTATTTTATTTTTTATTTTTCTTTCCAAAAAAATTCACCACATCCATACATGCATCCCTGCTCCTTCTTCTTTCCAAAAATTTGTTCTTTCTAGTCATCGAAGATTCAAACGCACTGCCTAACACCCATCCACGCTCCCCTCCCCTGCCCTCGCCACCCCTCCTCTCAGAAAAAAAAAAAAAAAAAAAAAATTCCCATGCAATGAAATCGTTATCATCACCAACAGAATCCAAATCCAAATCTGAATCGAAATTAAAATCTGGGAAAGTCTATGAATCTACTTCTGCTTCAAGATTAGCTCCACCTAACAACAATGTACCTTCAGAAATCCCCAAACCTAACCAACTCGAAACAACCCCAACAACCCGCATTTCACTTGGACGACCCCACAGAATAGAACCCACTCAACCAAGCGTTTCCAAGGAAAAACACAACCGAAACGTTTCCAGATCAAAAGGCTCTACTCGAAACGTTTGTGCTGACCGCAAGACCTTCACGAGGTCTCCAGGGGCGGGGAATGCTTGCATGCAAATTGTTGCCACTGAGCGAAAAGTTTTGGTGGATTCTTCAGCTTTGAGGAGGTCGCCGAGGCTGCGAACTGGGGGTTTACAGATTGTTGTCAGTGAGCGAAACGTTTCGGGTGTTTTGGCGGATACAGCGCGCTTGAGGAGGTCGCCGAGGCTGGCAAATGGGTGTGTGGAGTTTGTGGTAGGTAAAGGGAGGGATTTTCTGAAGAGAAAGAGGGCGTTTTACGAAATGTCAAGGTCAACGAGAAATCAAAACGGCCGATTGGACATGCAGCTTGCCTTGGTTCAGGTGTCATTTTGCTTCCGCACGCTCTTTGCCTTTCTTTTTCCTGTCTGGTTATGTGTTGTGTTTATTTCAATGTTAAAAATGGATTATTGATTTTCTGCAGAGTGAAAAATGCTCAAGCTTGATGATTAAGTAAGTAAAAAATTTTTATCAATCGCATTAAATTTATGTGGTTGAATTTTTCTGTGCTATTTTTAGATGTTAGTTATTAATTAGTTCATCCATGTTTGTATTTTAGCGAAGAGAATAAAAAAAGTGTTTGAAAGCAGAATGCTCGAGCGAGGCGTCGTCGAAGGGATCACCTATAGCATGCAGTTCAGCGAAAGCTAAATTGGGACGCTGTGAAAAGTGTGGTTGTCAATCTGTTTCGTCGAGAATTTCTAACTCTGTAGGGGATTTGGTAGACTTTGAAGCCAAACCGTTGTTGCTTCCATGCCACGAAGACAGTGAGAGGGAAACACCGTTATTGCTTCCATCGCACGGAGATAATGAGAGGGAAACACCGTTATTGCTTCCATCGCATGGAGATAATGAGAGGGAAACTGGCATTGTAAAATGCGATGAAGGGTCAAGTGTATTTGGGGAGGAGCAGTTGAGGAGGTCTCCAAGTTTTGATTTTGCAAATGAGAATTATGTTATTAATGAGTCTTCCATAAAATCTTGTAAATGTTCCTCGGCATTGGACGGGGATGGAAATTTTGAAATGAAATCTTGTTCCAGTGGGATGTCTGATGCAGAGGATGTACGCCCTTCTAAGAGGGTTAAAATCTGCGAAGAAAATTCTGATTCAGGAATGTCAGATGAAAAGCTCTTGAGACGGTCTCCCAGGATAAATTCTGTTATTGTGGCTGAAAATGGAAATATAAATTCAGCTAAGAAGCACTCTCCAAAGAAGAATTCTGGTAAAGAACGGTCTTCAGGGAAGAAGCAGAGGAAACATGAAGGTAATTTTTCCCTTATTGGAGATCCTGTCTCCGATGATGAAGCTCAAGAAAGGTGGCATTGGCGATATGAAATGAAGGTGACTAATAAATTCTTGTCCTATGTTTTTTTTTTTTCCTTTTTACTTGATTTTCAGTACATAGTTGGCACTCTTTTTTATTGCATGCTCATTTCAGTATTAGGTAATTTGGGGGGCTCTAACTGGGTGATTATAGTTATATTTGTACTTAGTTCTTCTGACAACTTTTTGGCTGTGAAACTTCAGTGGTGCCAAATGTGAAAATTTGGCAACCATATTAGACTGAGTTGCAAATCTTAAGATAATCTGGTGTTGTATTATTTTATTATCCAATCAAGTAAGTGGTTCATTGCCTCATCAGAATTCTGTTCTCCCTCTTGCTGGTAGATGTATGTCAATCATGACTGATTAGCTGTATATGAATTTGTTGCACTAGGACACCTAATCGAGGCATGTGCTCTCACTGATTTTCAAATTAACCTTTGGTTGCAGATTTTCTTTTATGTAATTCTCATAGCAATGATGTGTCTTGATAGGTAATATAGGTTCAAATGCTGCTGGGATTGTGCCTAATAACATCAATTTTACCTGTTACAAAAGATGATTATCAATCTGCTTTTTTTCCTTTTCTTTTCTTTCTCGACAGAATTTAATTAATAATTGAACATGCGGAATCGGATGATAAGATAACCCTTCTCATAACCAAAAAAAGAAAGCAAATATATATACAGTGACTGTCCCATCCTGCGTATTGATGAAGGAAAGCTCCTTAAAATAAAAATGGAATATCAATGTGAAGAAGCCAAGTACACTATACTATCCCAAATAATATGAAAAAGTGGCTGCTTGTGTTGAAAATTCTAGAATTGTGCTCCAACCATATAAGATCAGATTATTACAAAAACAGCATGTCTAAGTACTTGCTTCAGTCTTATAACCTACAATCTCTGTCAGAAGGACCTCCTTTAGGCTCTTAAGACACAAACCTCTAATGCCCAGATATTGAAAAAAGGCTTGTTTAAAAGAATTAGTGTCCTGGAGTTGCAAAATGATGCTGTGGCATATTTATTTCTAACAAATTAGTATTATTGGCTAATTAAGAATTGCAGATCAAACAAGTGATATCTTATCCTTCCAAATAAGTGGTGACTTGGCATCCACCTTAATATTTAGTGCATCAAATCATTGTTAATTCATACAAGATTGTTTTACTTTTATTCGCCATACGTTTTGATTATTCTAATATTCATGGTGGGTGTCTTCGAGTTTGCAGAGTAAGAGATCTAAGCATACAAGACTTGCATTAGAGTAAGCAATCAGTTATGAGCTTTTCTATATTGCTGGTATTTGTTGTTTGATGTATCGTACTTCAAGGATGTATTAGCATTTTACAGTTGTTTGCTTGTCAAATTTTGTTTATTCTTGTTCTTTCAGTGATGATGATGATGATGATGAAGATAAAGTTGTTTGGAATGTTGAATGCCATTACACTCAGGCTGACATTGATGGTTGCATCATTAATCTTGGAGATTGTGTCTATGTAAAGGTAAATGCATTTTTTTTTTTTTGAGAACTTAGTAAAGATGGATATTTCTTTTCTTATGTTCAAAATTACCATTTCATCTTCCTTTTAGGTTAGATCATTATTCTTTTGATGCTACTCATACTTGTAATACCCTATGATCAGGATATATATTTGAGGTCACAAGTCACATGCCCTTGGTAAAAGCTGTTACTTTATGTTTGTTATTTGTGGACTCCTTGTTAACAACATGGTGTAACATAATATGAACTCAAAATTCCATGCATAACAGCTGTTATTTTACTGCAATGCAACACCTTTTCTTTTATTGTTATTGCCGATACGACAGTTTGAGTGCTAATAAGCGTTCCTTATAACGTTGGCCTCAGTTATTTTGCCAATCACATGCTTGATATGTGCATATTGTTTGCCTCTCTTGTGATTCTGCTTACTTGCAAGAAAACATTCTGATATGGGATGCTATCAGACAGCTCATAAATGTGAATCCTTAAAGTTTCTAAATAACAAGCTCTGTTTATATTTTATTTTTTGTTAGCTAGCTATGCAGATTTTCTTTATTTTGTACTTGCCACTCTGAAATTGAGTTTTCAGGATATTTGCTAGCACAATTTGGATTGACTTATTTCAGTATTTCATAGTAGAGCTTAGGCACAAGAATGGAGTCTGGTATTGCCTAAACTTCTATTTTTAAACTACGAGGGGAAAAAGTTTAAGAGATTTTTCAGAATCATTAATCTATCTATTGAAGCAATTTGCAGGGTGAAGGAGCAAAAGAACATATTGGTAGGATATTAGAGTTTTTCAGGACAACAGACAGGGGAGAATATTTTAGGGTCCAATGGTTTTACAGAGCTGAAGATACAGTAAGTATATAAATTTTGTTAGATTGAATCGTTTATTTATCTTTTTATCAAGTTCTTCCCTTAATGTTCCCTCAGGTTATGAAAGAAGCAGCTGATTTTCATGACAAGAAGCGGGTATTTTATTCCACAGTGACAAATGATAATCCAATTGATTGCATTATTTCTAAAGTCAGTGTTGTACAAATATCACCTAGGGTATGATTCAGTCTTACTTCTAGACCTTTATCAACTTCAATAATCTTCTGGAAGGCAGCTTTCTGAAGTTTTTTGTTGGCTCTGATGGCATCTTTTCCTTAGTTTCTCCTAATTAATTTATTTTTGTTCTAAATTAATATCTTGCGACTTGTTTCAGGTAGATTTAAAGTTTCATTCAATACCAATGTCTGACTTCTACTTTGATATGGAGTATTGTGTGGATTATTCAACATTTCGAATTTTACTGACCGGTAAGAATCTAAATTCTAGTCCTTGTACTATGTTTCTATTTGAGCCTTGGTGCAATTGCATGTGAAATGGAGGAAGGGAAGGAACAGTTTAATGATTCAATGGAAGAAATGAGATCTTGGTCAGGAACCAAATGTGCTTGATAAGCCCCAAACATTGAATTTCACATGTTTTATCTGCAGTAAATTTTAATCCCAAGTGTCAGGTTTCTAGGTAATGCGAGGGAAAGAAGGAAGCAGGGGATATTGAGAAAGAACAGATAATAAGAGACAAATTGATAATTTCTTCTCTTCATACTAATTCAAAAACATAAAATTACAAATCGACCCATTAATTGACTAAATTACCATCCTTAAGGTCACCAAATCTGTATCACAACTCTATAAGTCTTCCAGCGGGAATAAAATTTGGTGGAAAATCATGCCCCCACTCATGTTGGAATCTTTTATCTCTTCCTGCAATACTTGTAGCAGCTGGAATATTGTTTATTTAAATGCAATATAATGTTCTTACATCTTGTTTTTGTAGGATACTGCTGCATATCTGTTTTTTTACCCTGATACAAATGTGCATAGGTTGAGGCTAAAATAATATCCTTGATCAGTTTGATATACTGTTCCAACAGATGACATTCATCAAGTTTTAAGCCGAGCCTTAATTAATGTGGCCATCCATCCACCTCAGAGAAGAAAAAACAAAAAAGATGTTAAAAGGGAAGAGAATATGTTGTACATAGGACAAAATTTCAACTGGTTGACAGCATCTTTGCAGTGTGTGAATGCCATAAGTATAAAGTCATCATCATATATTTTTGTTTGTTTGTGTTGTCTCTTTAAGTATCAGATCTTATGTTCGCTGGTGGTGTTTGTCAGGAATACAAATCCTGCTTCTTTTTGTTTTCTTGAACAGCTCTGTAACTACTAAATGTTTGCATGACCTTGCATTCCCCTTTTTGTTCCACAACATATACAAAACTAACTATGAAAGGATGAAAGCTTTGAACCAGGCTGGGCACTTAATTCATCTAATGTGCTTTCTCTTTAGATTGTTCATTCAAGGGGCAAGAGTCATCATCACTTCATATCTGTGATTCTCTTTCTGCAACACCCAGCAACACTTCGTTGGAAAACATGTCCAATTGTGGAAGTTACAAAGCAAAGTTGATGCTTCTAGATCTTTTCTCTGGCTGTGGTGGAATGTCAACTGGATTATGCCTTGGGGCCAAAGTTTCTTGCGTTGATCTTGTGACGGTACTTTCTTGAAACAAACAAGTTTCATTATTGTTTCATGCTTAAGCACACAGAGGATTGTTCTTTAGCTCTCTCCCCCTTTATTTAGAGATGGGCGCTAGACAGTGATGAGTCTGCATGTGAAAGCTTGAAGTTAAATCATCCGGAGGCACACGTGAGTGGCCTGATCTGCCATTTTGATTACTGCAAATTCTTTTGTAAACATTTGGAATTGTATGAGATGCTATGATGGCCTTTTTAATATAGGTTAGGAATGAAGCTGCTGAGGATTTTCTTGAACTATTGAAGGAATGGCGAAAACTATGCAAACGGTATAAAGGCAATAATATAGAAAGGACACATAAGTCAAGATCAATGGCCTTAAGTATGTCAAAACCAAATGAAAATTCTTCCAGTGATGATGATATTGCTCCTGGTGAATATGAAGTTGCTAGGCTTGTTGACATTTGTTACGGGAAGACTGACAAGAGAGGAAAGCGTGGGCTGAAATTTAAGGTACCTCATGACAATTGCCATTTTCTAAAATTTTGTTAGTTCGCTGCACAAGACCCCATCTCCGCCATGCCTCAAACTATATGATCCATGCAAGTTTATTTCTATTACTGCTTTTGGGGATCATTTTGAGTTAATTAAATAAACAATTCTAAGTTGTTGTTATTTAGGGAAGTCTTTGTCTCGTGCTTTTGAGGGTCCAACTGATGATCTTGTTATCATGTTTGACAACAAAAATATTACCTGATGCATTTGTGAAAGAATAGAACAAATTGTATTGGCAGAATTTTGGAGTTTGTATTGATAAAAAAGCATTAGTAAGTAAAATACAAGTTATATTACTTAAATATTCATGTAGTGTTTAAGTATCAATCCTTTTTCATCACTCAAAAATTATCTGCCATTAATATCATGTGTTGGAAAATTTTTTAGGTGAAGTTTTCTTTGGGTTTTGACTACTTTCTGCATAATTCTACAAGCTAATCTTGTTCCCAAATAATTTTAGATGTTAAGTATTCCTTCTCTTATGTTTGATTGGAAAAGAAAATAAAATTCTCAAACTGTTTGTTGAAGCTAAAGGTCAACGATATATAAGGGTTTATGATGGTTAAAAAAAGCGTGAAATTACAAGTTTCAATAAATTAAACTTTGTTGTCTTTTAAACATTACGGGTCGTAATTCATATCCATTAGCTTTTGTTTGATTTTGTAGTTTGGTAAAGATGATTTTCTACTCGTAACTATTTCGTTAGGTGCACTGGAAGGGACATAGTACCAGTGAAGATACATGGGAACCAATCGAAGGCTTAAGGTATGCTTTTTAGAATGCTGCATTTCGGCTTGACTCTGTCCATTATTACTTATTAATATCAAAATTTTCAGTAACTGTGAAGAAGCTATACGGGATTTTGTAAGAGAGGGGATCACATCCAAGATCTTGCCACTTCCTGTAAGTTATATTTCTCTGTTGCAACAAGTTGGATGCTGTCTAACTTTTATATCAGTCTTTTACTAATAAATTAAGACATACCAGGGTGATGTTGATGTGATTTGTGGAGGCCCTCCATGCCAAGGGATTAGTGGCTATAATCGCTACAGAAATGTTGATTCTCCACTTGCTGATGAAAGAAATGTTCAGATTGTAGTCTTCATGGACATAGTGCAGTTCTTGAAACCTAAATACGTGTTGATGGAAAATGTAGTTGACATTCTTAGGTTTGACAAGGCTTCGTTTGCAAGATATGCTTTAAGCCGGCTGGTGCATATGAAATACCAAGCAAGACTTGGCACCGTTGCGGCTGGGTGCTATGGTCTTCCACAATTTCGGTTACGTGTTTTCTTATGGGGTGCTCATCCCAAGGAGGCAAGTTTCACATTTCATGGTTTCTATCAACATAATGGTATTTTATAGGGCTCTTGATCCATTTTTTTTCCCAAAACGTGGATTTATAGTAAGTTTAAACCATTTAATTAGGAAAAATGAATAACCATTCTTATTTGCCACAAGTAATCTACAATGATTAAGACAGCATAAAATTTCTATTGCTAAGAGAAGTAACCTTCATCTAGCATATATGTTAAATTTCTTGATCTCTCTGTGGTGTCAAATTGTTTTATTGTTTTCTTTTCCCCTGCAGAAACTGCCCCAATTTCCACTTCCTACTCATGATGTTATTGTTAGATATTGGCCTCCGCCTGAGTTTGAGGTACCAAATTTTCTTTGGCCAAGGTCTGAAATCACTTTAATCTGCTGCCTATAGCTACTTGATGATTTGATTGGTGTGTTGCAGCGGAACACTGTTGCATATGATGAAGACCAACCTCGTGATGATCTAGAAAAAGCCACAGTTCTTCGTGATGCCATTTCAGATCTTCCAGATGTAGTCTCACCATATCCTGTGTTCCATTTCTTGATGGACTACTTTAGTAATTCTATTGTACTCTCATCTTACTTGATGTTATAGGTGACAAGCAATGAAATCCGTGAGGAAATGGCATACGACAAGCCTCCAGAAACTGACTTTCAACAATTCATAAGGTCAAAAAGAGACGGTAATGTGATTGTTTTTAAATTTCAAAATTTGGTAATATTAATATACTCAATTGCTATACTAGAGGCAATTAAGTACTATCTTTCTTGAAGGTGAATAAAATTTGACTGTTGCACAGCAACTGTCTAAATTTGGGTGATGAAATAATTGAAATTGTAGTATTACTATGACAAGCTACTTGCATAATTAGAATTTGGACTTATCTGATCTAAAGCCATCTGTAAATTATATAGTTATATGTCAGTAATATAGGAATCCATCTCAACTTAATTAACTAATCCCTAGTTTAATTAGCTGAAGTCGCCCACATAGACGATTTTCTTCTATCTACTTTTTTTGGGCAATCTTTCTGTTTTTCACTGTTTAAGACCATGTCAAAACCTTTTTTCTTTTTTTTTTTTTTACTGTTTTGACATTTGTCATTTTTTGGGTTGCCTTTCCTTTCACTTTTACTTCTTTGATCCAATCCATTTTCCTCAGCAGTCACTCAGTGCCTCTAAGTTCATGCTGGATGTAGGCTAAACCATCTCAAATGGTCTCCTTATATCTTCAGTTGGTGCTTGTTTCTTATCCAATTCATTCTTGTCTTCCCACTCTTCCATTTTCCATTTAAATTATGCTTATTGAGCATGATAATTCTTCTGTCCGACTATTGGTACTAAGAAGCATAATTGGTCAAATAGCGAAAACCTTTCAACCTAGTGGGTTCTTAGCATCACATAATAGTCTCGTGCATTTCTAGTTCAATCGTCTTGCTTTGACTCTATAGGTAACAAGCATTGCCAATTTTTAAGAAGCATTATCAAATTTATGGCTTATATTGCTTGAGTTAATTTGCTTCAAAGCCACAGATTTAGTAATGGTTTATGAGAGAAAGCATACAATTGAATATATTTATGTCTTCTTTTGATCATTCTCCCCTTCTTTTGTTTCCGCTTGATCATACTGTTTTCTTTGGTTCCACTTGTCCCTTTAAGTTATCTTTCATTATGTGCGTGTACACTAAATGTGTAAAGCTAGCAACAATATTACAGTTCTGAAAAAATAAAAAGAAATTAGAGGATAGGTAGCTTTGAAAAGAAACTGGAACTCCCTACTCCCTTCGACTTTTCATCTCCATTTTTTGGGTTATTATATAAATTAAATTTTTCAAAACTTTTTTCATAAGAGAATTTATAATACTTTGGCAACAGACCGATAAAATAATGTGGCAAAAACAGCAAAAGCTGACCATGTTACTTCTCTTTACCTTTCACCCCTAAAGTTCTCTATGCTAAACAAATGGAAAGCAAAATACACGTCTAGGTTCAGAATTTAACAGTATATATCTATTCTCATTGTTGGAAACCTTATCCTAACAGCATTTTCTTGGGGCCAGGTTTGAATTTTTTGGATTTCTTGAGACCTATTTTTGAGTTTGGCGGTTGTTGTATACTCTTTTGCAACTTGGGTCAACCAAGCTTATGTCTTTTATCTCAGTCCTAGTCTCCTTGAGAGATAGTGACGAATACTTGTGATAAAGTTGACAAGTTTGCAGCTTAGTCAAAAGTTAAACATGAACAATTTTTCCAAAGCAGTATGTGATTTTTTCATAAATTTAATCAAATGGCGAGTTTGTTTGTAATGTCCACACTGCATGAGCACATGAAAAGTTGGACTCCTAGGTGGCTCAACCATAGATGAGTACATCTTCTCTTTGCATTTAGTTCTACTATTGCTATAGATGGATGATGCTTCCTCTCCTTTTTGTTTGATTGATCTTTGTATTGAATAATAGTTATAGTAATAATAACATTTCATGCATCTAAGTTAACACCATCTCCTGCTTTTCTTTGATGTCGCTAAAGGTACAATACAAATATTAAACTTGTTTCTGCTTATTTTGAACCCTTTGGAGTTTGGATTCACAGTTACTTTTCTGCAATTCAACATTCAATTAACTCTAGCTCTTTTTTCATCTACTAAAACTGTTGCCACAAAAAGTGCTCGCTACAGAGTGTCATCTTGAATCTACTTATCCATCATCAGAGCAAAAAGATAAAATTCATGCAAGGTTTCAATGTTGGCTAATCATGATAAGATATTTATCTGTGTTTACCACAATAGAACTGCCATTTTGTACATATCCTTTATCACAATATTATGAGGTCGTTTTCTTTCCAACTGGAGTGTCAGCCAGAGGGAAGAATGAAAATTGTACTTCTATTCAATGCTGCCAGCATTTGGACCTTAAATTTGGTGAAATGTTCAATTTATATTTTAAAAATAAGTTGAATCTTGATAGAGTTCATATAGCTAAGTTCTGACTACGTGTTTTTTTTTTAATCTCTCTTCTGGCTTTGTAGAGATGACTGGTTTTGTGCTCAATGGCACTAGAAGAATGAGCAATTTGCTATATGACCATCGTCCTTATTCATTAAATGAAGAAGATTATGCCCGAGTTTGCCAAATTCCTAAAAAAAAGGTTGGATGGATATGGATTCTGTAGATTAGTATGCTGAGCTTCATTCCTTGATTCTCTCTCTCATGTAGAAATTCTTTTAGGGAGCAAATTTCAGGGACCTACCTGGTGTGGTTGTAGGAGCTGACAATGTTGCCCGGCGGCATCCAACGAAAGAGCAAATGCTTTTGCCATCTGGAAAGCCCCTGGTTAGTTTTTAATGCATTTTCCCTTTAAGGGTTGACTCTTTTCTCCATTAATGAATGTGGCATAAATTGTGGATAAGAATCTATCTGATTTTAAATATATGCCGCTAGCAGGCATGCTGTTCATGCATTTCAAATTATGCAATGAAACGATCTCTACTCTCTAATTTTACAATGATTGTCTCCCATACTTGCTCTTATTCCGTTATCAGAAAAGTTATATAGAGATTGTTAAATAGTTCTGTAGATCATTTACCCCAACATACATGCAAAGACTTCTAAACAACAAAATTAAGAAGGGATTGCATTTTGCAGTCCATTTGGCAGCTAGGGCTCAACAGTGGAAGGGAAAGCATTGATACTTGATCAATCCTTTCTGTGCTGCCAGCTCCAGACACACCGTAATGGCTTCAGGTTGTGTTCGAGATCATTTCTTGTCCCTGCCAAATTAGGCAAACCTTTTCCTTTCTTTGTTCAACCAGAACCATCACTCGCATTTAAAGAGTAACCTCCTCATAATTATTTGTTAACAACCATTTGGAAGGGAACCAACTAATTCATATTTTGATCTCTTTCAGCTAAGCCACCAAACTGCCCTTGCTAGTTGCTAAACACCTGCCTGTTGTTAATAGACAAGAAATAATACAATAAAGCCCATCAATCTCATGTTTATTTCTGGAATATACTTTCCTTTAGCATGCAAGAAATAGGAAAAGAAAAAAGGGACACCAACTTTTTGGATAATTTTAATTTAGCCAAGGTGGAAAAGGAAAAAAGAAGTAAATGGTATTTGAAGTATGAAAATATTTCATAAAGCTATTAAAAGGTGGTGAAACAAAATGAGTTTGTTGTAATGGTCATGAACGGGCCAAAAGGAATGTGGTAAAAGGTGCTGCAACTATGGCCATTGTAAATTAGGACATTTTTAGTCATGCTTAGTGGGGACTGGCACTCATGTAAGTTGTGCTTTATTTGCTTGTAGGTACCAGATTTTGCCTTAAATTTCGAAGGAGGAAAGTCTAGAAGGTTACGCTTTTTCTTCTGCTTCCTCTCTTATAATATTTTTTTCAAACATTTAAAGAATTGATTATATGTCCAGGCCATATGGGAGATTATGGTGGGATGAAACAGTGTCGACTGTTGTTACTTATCCAGATCTTCACAGCCAGGTTCCTCCTTGCTCTTGTTGAAGCTTGCAAGTCACATGTTTTTTATGTTGTTATAACTCTTTATGCATTTGTAGGCTGTGATACATCCAGAGCAAGATCGAGTTCTCACTGTACGAGAATGTGCAAGGCTGCAAGGTTTTCCTGATTATTATAGATTCCGTGGGACAGTTAAACAAAGGTGAGTATTTTTCTTCCGAAAATAACACTTTTTTTTCTCAAAAAAGTTTGATAGCTTTCTGTGTGCATATTTTTGGAAAGAAAAGGCTAAGATGTTTTTTAACGAGTGAACCACCTCTATACTGACCTAGAGCTCATAGCAGGTAATTTGGAAATTGTTACTGTTCAAAAAGAAAGGAAAAAAACCCCAATCAGCACTGTTGAAAACGGGTGGAACCTTGTGAAAAAGAATTGGTTTGATGGGCTGGTCGGAGTGGCACCATGTCTGAAAAAAATGGAGAAGGTTTATAGAGAGTGATGTTTGTCACTTGACAATAAGACTAATTTATTTATAATGCTTATTGGTTATATTTTGGTGGTTACTTATTCTAATATATGTGACCAAAGGGGTTTGGTTATACCTAATGAAGTTAATTATTTTATTTCATTAAGGACTTAAAAATTTAATATATCAACAATTTATCAGAAATTTAGCTTAATTATAGGCTAATACATATCGTTTAGAAACTAGTTTACCTCAGTTAATTTCTAGTTAAGTATGTGGGCTGACCAATTACCTCCCAATTGACCCAGTTGGTTGATAGCCAAATCCGTTTTCAAAATATTGGTTTTTAAAGGTGCCGTTTCCCCTCTGGGACAATGTTGTGCAGCAACTGCTTTTGAAATTCTTAAGGGGATTTGAATCGAAGCCAGCATGAAAGTTGTCCCTGTTTATATGCGTCAGTAACCATGGTCAAAGTGATGACTGCACAATCCTTATAGCTTTGACATGTAAATTTTTGATTCCATATTTTGAGTAATGAAATGGTTATTTTTACCTACTATTAAGTGCATCCACTGTAAAATTTTATATATATGTATGTGTGTGGGCTGAAGCGTGTGGTAACTTGCACAATGTTTATGACTAATTTTTTTTTTTTAAAAAAAAACTTTTTTACAGGTACCGTCAAATTGGAAATGCTGTTGCAGTTCCTGTTGGTCGTGCCTTGGGATACACTTTGGGGATGGCGTTTCAAAAACGAAGTGGGGATGATCCACTAATGACATTACCTCCCAAGTTCTCTCACTCAACTAATCTTCAATTAGCTAAATCCCTGTTTGAGAAGACAGAATAGTATTATCTATTCGCACCCTACCATCTATCTCATTATATGCGGCATTGACGCTGAATTTTCCATAATTAGCTTTGTTCATACATGTAAAATATTTCATTTTTTATTGAGCTATATACTTTATTCAATGAAAATTGGTCATAAGAATAATATTGACTTCATCCTAAAATAATTTGCAGTCATTAATATTATTCGTCCTCAAAATCGCCAACACAATGCTTTTCAAGCCACTACAACTATTTTACCTACATCAACAACCGATCAGAATGTTGAACCAACAATCCTTACCCCTGCAATGGTTTAACAAATGATTCTTTTTGCTTTTTCAGCTTTGGGGATTCAAGGTAATGATAATGCATCCTCTACAACTTGGCTGATTGATTCTGCAACATCAAATCATATGACTGATTCAGCTAATTTGCTATAAAATATCCATTCATATCTTGGTTCCGAATATATTCGAGTTGCTAATAGAAATACTTTACCTATTATTGCTTGTTGGAGATATTCCTTCGGTTTTCGACAATGCTTTTATATCACCTGGACTCTCTAATAATCTCCTCTCTATTGGATAATTAGTGAAAAATTATTGTAATGTCCGTTTTTCTCGTGATGGTTGTTATGTGCGGGATCGGGTGTCGGGACAAGTGATCGCGAAGGGGCTTAAAGTAGGACATTTGTTTTCATTACATGTCTCTATTTCGAGTAATGTTATTTCAGCTTGTTCTACTATTTTCAATAAGAGTGAAGTATGGCATAAACGTTTAGGCCATCCTAATTCTAGTATATTATCTTATTTGTTAAACTCTAAGCTTTTGGGTAATACCGATCAATTGTGTTCTTCTCGTCTTTCCTTTGATTGTTCAACTTGTAAATTAGGAAAAAGTAAAAGTCTTTCTTTTCTCGTTGTTGGTAGTCGTGCAATAAAATGCTTTGATATTATTCATAGTGATGTATGAGGAATTTCACCAGTTATTTCTCATGAACATTATAAGTATTTTGTGACATTTATTGATGATTATAGTCGCTTCACTTGGATTTATTTTCTTCGTCCTAAATCCGAGGTTTTTTCTATTTTTAAGACTTTCCTTCAATATGTTGAAACTCAATTTTCTACTCGTTATCAAAATCTTTAGATCATATTCAGTGGAGAATACATGTCTAAAGCATTTCATGAATTTTTAAATTAAAAAGTTATTCTCTCACAATGTTATTATCTTTATACGCCTCGATAAAATGGTTTGGCGGAACGAAAGAATCGTTATCTCTTAGAAGTAACCCGAACTTTGTTACTTGAATCATCAATTCCACCTACTTTTTGGGTTGAAGCTTTATCTATAACTCGTTAATCTCATTAATAGGTTGCCTTCTAAAACTCTACATCTTGATTCTCCTTATTATCGTCTTCATTGTCAACATCCCGACTATCGGCATTTGTACACGTTTGGATGTGTGTGTTTTGTTCATTTGCCTCCTCATGAATGCCATAAAGTTTATGCTCAATCTATTAAATATGCATTTATGGGATATAGCTTTAGCCACGGAGGTTTTGTTTGTTATGATCCTAGTTCCAAGAAACTCGAGTTTCTCACAATGTTGTTTTCTTTGAAAATCAATTTTTCTTCCCAACTCATGTTCCATCGTCACTCGAAGTTGCTATTCTTTCGGTTTTGATGACTTATCTTCCTCTATTGAACGATTCAAGCCCGGACTTATGTACAACCGAGCGTCCTTCGCCATCGCCCCTTCCCGATCCGGAAGCGCCATCTAATCCGGTCTCACTCGATGTGAGACGATCCACTAAAATTTCTCATCCTCCAAATAGGTATGATTCTTATGATACATCATTCTATCGTTGCTTTGTCCTCTATTTTGGTCCCATCTTCTTACTCACGAGCGGCTAAGCATGAATGTTAGAAAATGTAAGAAAGAGGAGCTTCGGGCTCTTGAAGACAATCAAACTTGAGAAATTATCCCTCGTCCACCTACGATCAAGCCTATTGGGTGTAAATGGGTTTACTCGGTGAAACTTCACTTTGATGGGACCACGAAACGTTATAAAGCCAAATTGGTTGCTCTTGGTAATCGCCAGAAGATGGGATTAACTATGAAGAGACATTTGCTCCTGTTGCCAAAATGACTACGGTGTGTATTGTTCTTGCTATTGCTTGCTTCTCGAGGGTGGCAACTTCAACGGATGGATGTAAAAAATGCTTTTCTCCATGGTGACCTCAAAGAGGATATATACATGACACCTCCTTCTAGTTTGTTTTCCTCTTCTACTTTGGAAGTTTGTAAGTTGAAACGTTCATTGTATGGCTTAAAACAAGCTCTCCGAGCTTGGTTTGAGAAGTTTCACTCTACTTTGCTTCGGTTTCAATTTGTACAAAGTTAATATGACTCTTCCTTGTTTTTTCATAAAACTTCCATGGGAATTGTCCTTCTTTTAGTCTATGTTAATGATATTGTTATCATTGGAACATACACTTTATTGATCGATCAACTTCAAAAACACCTTCATGATTCTTTTCATATGAAGGATCTTGGATAATTTACTTATTTCTTGGGCTTGGAAGTTCACCGACTCTTCCGGAATATTTTTACACCAACATAAATACACTCAAGATTTGGTTACTTTAGCTGGTCTCTAAGATTCTTCTTACGTTGATACTCCTCTAGAAGCGAATGTTAAATATCATATTGAAGAGGGATAATTACTTTCTAATCCTTTATTGTATCGATAATTAGTTGGTAGCTCGAACTACCTAACTATTATTAGGTTGGACATCTCTTTTGCGGTATAACAAGTTAGTCGGTTTTACACTCTCCAAGACATCTACACTTAGCTGTTGTTCGTCGCATCATTCGCTATCCGAAAGGTACTTCTTCTCGTGGTTTATTCTTTCTTGTTGAATCTCCTATGAAACTTATTGCCTTTAGTGATGCTGATTAGGTTGGTTGTCCTAATACCCATCGCTCCGTCACTTTGGTTGGTGCATGTTTCTTGGCAATTGTTTGATATCTTGGAAGAGTAAAAAACAAGATCGTATCTCCAAATCTTCCATTAAATCCGAATATCGTGCTATGTCCGTCGCATGTTGTGAGATCACTTGGCTTCGAGGATTGCTAAGCGAGCTTGGGTTTCATCAACATGATTCTACTCCTCTTCATGCCGATAACATTAGTGCCATTCAAATTGCTACTAATCCGAGTATACCATGAGCGTACCAAACATATTGAAGTGGATTGTCATTATATTCGAGAAGTTCGTGAATACTTGTGTTGTTTCTCTTCCCCATGTTTCTACTCGCCTTACGGATAGGCGATGTGTTTACAAAAGCTCTCTCTCGACAACGTCACCATTTCCTTGTTAACAAATTAATGCTTCTTGATCGATGAGCATCAATTTGAGGGGGATGTTACCATATATAGATAACATTTATTTTGATATAAGCTGTCTGTATATTTGCTTCTATTGTATAGCTATAATTAGAGGTAAATCAACCTATAATATTATCGATAATCATTACTTAGATTGTACAGACTATAGCTTGAGGCAAATTAGCCTATAATCACTATGTACTCATCTATTTATTGAAATGAAAGAGAAGAGAAAGACATGCGGTATTCAACCAAAATTCTCTCTTTTTTGTCAAGCTTTTCGGGTAGTGCTAAAAAAGAAGGTGGACTCTAGTATATTGAGGATGATAAATACATGACTAAGCAAGCTACTGTAGTTAAGAGTGACTCTACTTCGCTACCAAAAATAATGCAATAATGTTGTGGCACCGTAGGTTAGGTCATCCAAAGTTTCATTATCTTAAACATTTGTTTCCAAGTTTATTTATAAATAAAAATCCTAGTTCTTTCGGTTGTGAAATTTCTCATCTTGCTAAACATACTCGTATATCCTTCCTAATCCAATCATACCAAGAGTCTCGTCCATTTTCCTTAATTCATAGTGACATATGAGGACCCTCTAATGTAAAAAATATCTCTGGTACATAGTGGTTCATCACCTTTATCGATGACCATACTCGAGCTTGTTGCGTTTATCTACTTAAAGAAAAATTTGAGACTGCAAAAACATTTCAAAATTTTCATTCAATGATAAAAACCCAATTTCACACCTCTATCCAAACATTAAAAACTGACAATGTAAAGGAATATTTTAATGCAATTCTTGGACACTACCTTGAAACTATTGGAATAATCCATCAAAGTTCATATCCGGACACACCTCAACGGAATGGTGTGACGGAAAGAAAAAATCATCACCTTCTGAAGTTACTTAGAGCTTTAATGTTTGCCATGTAAGTCCCAAAATACCTTTAGGGGAAGTTGTTCTAACGACCTCTTACCTTATAAATAGAATACCCTTTCGAGTTCTTAAATTTGACTCCCCATTATCAACTTTGCTAAAAACTTACCCAACATTTCGTTCTATTTCCTCCATACCACTTAAGACTTTCGGTTGTACAGCTTTTGTACACGTCTAAAATTGTTCTAAACTAGACCCAAAATCCATCAAATAAGTCTTTATTGGATATTCTCCCACTCAACGTGGGTAAAAATGTTATTCTCCATCACTTCATCGTGTTTTTATGTCCATGGATGTCTCCTTTCTTGAGTCTCAATCTTTTTTTAGAATACTTATCTTCGAGGGGGATTTTAAGAGAAGATAAGTCATAGGAAATACACGAAATAGAATCCTTATCCTTATCTCCCTTTTCCATTTCAACCCCGATTCTTAATATTGAATCTCAACCTATTGTGCCACTCAATACACACAAGGAAACATTGAAAATAGGAGGAGATAACTCCCAACCATAATTGCTTGTTTATTCACATAGAAAACATTCTCAAAAGGAGGAGAACCACGAAACTCGGCATGGTCGAAGTCCGACCGAATGCGAGTCCCGTTATCGAAGGTACCAGTGAACTCGTTCGGCATGAGATTGAGCTTCAAAACCACACTTTAGACACTGGATATTCCAATTGCTCATAGAAAAGGAACAAAGTCTTGTACCTAGCATCCTATATCCGGGTTTGTCTCTTATGAAAGGTTGTCCCCTAGATTTTATGTTTTCACTATTTTACTCGTCCATAACGGAGGTAACAAAAAATATACAAGAAGCACTTGCTGATCCAAAGTAGAAAGCAGCTATTCAGAAGAAATAGGTGCCTTGAATAAAAGTGGCACATGGGAGATTATAAAACTCCTTGAAGGGAAGAAAACGAGTGGGTTGTAAGTGGGTCTTTACAATAAAGTTCAATGTTGATGGTAGTATCATTCTATACAAAGCTAGGCTTGTGGCTAAAGGCTTTACTCGGACATATGGAATTGACTATCAAGAGACCTTTGCTCCGGTGGCTAAACTAAATACGGTAAGAGTTCTTCTCTCCTTAGCCTCCAATCTTGATTGGCCACTACAACAATTGGATGTAAAGAATGCATTCCTAAATGGTGACTTACATGAGGAAGTCTATATGGATGCACCTCCTACATTCGACGGAAAGGATAACCTGGTGTGTAGATTGAAAAAATCTCTTTATGGGTTGAAACAATCTCTTAGTTAGTGGTTTGGAAAATTTATTTAAGTTATCAAGAGTAGAGGTTTTACTCGAAGCACAATCTGATCACACATTATTTTACAAGCACTCTAAAGATGGAAAAATAGTCATTCTTATAATGTATGTAGATGACATTATCCTAACGGGAGATGATCATATAGAATTGACTTCTTTAAAGAACTACCTAGCGAAGTGTTTGAATTGAAAGACTTGAGGGCTCTAAGGTACTTCCTTGGTATGGAAGTTGTTAGAAGCAAATCAAGGATTACGGTTACACAATAAAAGTATGTACTTGATCCGCTTCGAGATACCGATATGTTGGGTTGCGGATCAGTTCGAGACACCTATGGATCCAAATACTAAGTTAGATATTGAAGGAGGTAGAGAGGTTGATCGGAACGAGTGTCAAAGGCTTGTAGGGAAGCTGATTTACTTGTCACACACACAAGACCGGACGTTGCCTTTCCGGTAAGTGTGATTAGTTAGTTTATGCATTCACCTAAGGACACACATCTTAATGCGACTTATAGAATTTTGAGGTATTTAAAGAATACTCACGGTAGGGATTTATTCTTTAGGAAAGGTGAACATAGAATGATAGAAGTTTATATCGATGCGGTCAGGCGGGTTCTCCCTTGGATAGAAGGTCAACTTCGGGTTATTGCACATATGTCTAGGGTAATCTTATAACTCTGAAGGAGTAAAAGCAACCTATAGTTGTTAGAAGCGAGTCAAAGGTCGAGTTTCGGGCTTTAGTTCAAGGTTTTTGTGAATGAATATGGCTAGGGAGATTACTTAGTTAACGAAGATATCTAACGACTTTCCCATGAAAATGTATTGTGACAACAAGACAACGGTGTGTATAGCTCAAAATCCTGTTCATCACGATCGAACAAAACACGTAGAAGTTGATCGACACATCATTAAGGAGAAGATTGACAATGGAAGTGTGTGCATGGTTTATATCCCTACTAAAATTCGATCAGTGATATTCTAACTAAAAGCTTGCATAAACCAAGCTTTGAAGATTTAGTAAGCAAGCTAGGAATGATTAACATATACAGAGATCTTGTATGGTTAGGCTATTCGGAAAATCATTCTATTTTAAGAAGTAGATCATTAGTCTCCTAAGTATTTGAAGTCAATTCCTAAATAGTAGTTGTCACTATAATTTAGGGATGTATATGTTTTTTTCTAAAGAAGCAGATTAGGAAAAGATATCTGCCTATAAATATATATAGTCTTACCTCGATGTACGGAATAATAAAAAATATATTTCTCTCTTAGAAACTTTCATAACCGTTTGGAAGGGAACCAACTAATTCATATTTTGATCTCTTTCAGCTAAACCACCACCAAACCGCACTTACTAGTTGCTAAACACTTGCTCGTTGTTAATAGACAAGAAATAATACAATAAAGCACATCAATCTCATGCTTATTTCGGAATATACTTTCCTTTAGCATTCAAGAAATAATAAAAGAAAAAAGGGACACCAACTTTTTGGATAATTTTAATTTAGCCAAGGGTTAAAAGGAAAAAAGAAGTAAATGGTATTTGAAGTATGAAAATATTTCATAAAGCTATTAAAAGGTGGGGAAACAAGATGAGTTTGTTGTAATGGGCATGAACGGGGCAAAGGAATGTGGTGAAAGGTGCTGCAACTATGGCCATTGTAAATTAGGACATTTTTAGTCATGCTTAGTGGGACTGGCACTCATGTAAGTTGTGTTTTATTTGCTTGTAGGTACCAGATTTTGCCTTAAATTTCGAAAGAGGAAAGTCTAGAAGGTTACGGTTTTTCTTCTGCTTCCTCTCTTATAATATTTTTTTTCAAACATTTAAAGAATTGATTATATGTCCGAGGCCATATGGGAGATTATGGTGGGATGAAACGATGTCGACTGTTGTTACTTATCGAGATCTTCACGACTGGGTCCCTTCGCTCTTGTTGAAGCTTGCAAGTCACATGTTTTTTTATATTGTTATAACTCTTTATGCATTTGTAGGTCGTGATACATCCGGAGCAAGATCGAGTTCTCACCTGTACGAGAATGTTCAAGGCTGCGAGGTTTTCTCGATCATTATAGATTCCGTGGGACAGTTAAACAAAGGTGAGTATTTTTCTTCGAAAAATAACACTTTTTTTCTCTCAAAAAAGCCTGATAGCTTTACGGGTGCATATTTTTGAAAGGAAAAGACTATAAAGTGCATCAACTGTAAAATCCTCTCCGATATGTATGCATGTGTGTGCGCCGATGCGTGCGGTAACTTTCATAATGTTTATGACTAAATTTTGTTTTTTTTTTTTTTTAATAACTTTTTGGCGAGTACCATCAAATTGGAAATGCGATTGCGGTTCTCGTTGATCGTGCCTTGGGGTACGCTTTAAAAAACGAAGTGACATTACCTCCCAAGTTCTCTCACTCAACTAATCTTCAATTAGCTAAATCCTCGTTTGAGAAGACGAGAATAGTATTATCTCATTATATGCTCGAATAATTCAACCGACGTAGAATTTTCCATAATTAGCTTTGTTCATACATGTAAAATATTTTTTTTAATGAGTCTGTATACTTTATTCAATGAAAATTGGTCATAAGAGTCATATGGACTTCATCCTAAAATAATTTGCAGTCATTAATATTGTTTTTTAATATTAGCTTTATTTATTGTTTTTTTTTATTTGGAGAAGATATTAGCTTAATTACCTTATTAGCTTTATTTATTGTTTTTTTTTATTTGGAGAAGATATTAGCTTAATTACCTTATTTGATATATATAAGATATTTTGTTTAATATTCTAATTGGGAATTATTGAATTGTTATATTTCTCCGTTGGAACACTCACTCCCTCCCTTCTTGTCTCTTTAATCATCTCCTCCTCCTCTACCCCACGTCAGCCAAGAAAGAAAAAAAAATGGGCTCCATCAAATTCCTCCTACTCTCAAGAACTTCACCCAAAACTCTTTCTCAACTTCTCCAACCCACTCCTTCGTATTCCCTAAGAAACTTTCACTCCCTCATCTCCCAACAATTCAATTCCTTCCAAACTTCCACCTTCTCATCTTCTGCTCTTGAACTACCAGAAACTGGAGCATCTTCTCTAAGCCTCGATACTCGAGTCCCTGCTACTGTAATCACTGGCTTTCTTGGCTCGGGAAAGGTAATTTTTTTTTTTTTTGCACACACACTTATCTGTGTGTGCGTGTGGTTTCTGCTTCTTGAATTGCTTTCTGGGCAGTCTTTGATTTTCTTTTTCTTTTTCTTCAAACAAAGCACTGATAGCATTTAATAGCAATTTAAATGCTTTGGGCTTTTCAAGATACTGCATTCCTTTCCACTTGTATTTTTTTTAATACTGTATTTAATCTTCTCTTAATGTGAACTGAATTCTTGACAATGCAGACAACTTTACTGAACCATATTTTGACATCTCAACATGGCAAGCGGATTGCAGTCATAGAAAATGAGGTATGGACTTTGCATCTTACAAAGTTCTATACTTTGTTTACTTTTTAAATTATTCGTTTTCTTATGGATAATTACTGATAACCTTGGTTCTCTATTTAAACGACTGATGGTACTGTTTGGATTTATTATGGTATTTCTTTGTCCAAAATTTTATATGGAGGACAGATTATTAGTAAATGGTGTTTTATATAATTGTATATAGTAGCCAAAAAAATATCTGTGCTTGGGTGGATTTCTGCTTTATATTTATAAAATTTAATGGTTATGTTGGTTACTTCCGGTGCAGTTTGGTGATGTGGATATTGATGGATCGCTGGTTGCCAGTCATTCCACTGCGAGTGATGACATCATCATGGTTAACAATGGCTGCTTGTGCTGTACAGTAAGAGGAGATTTAGTTAAGATGCTCTTGGAGTTGGTGAAGAAAAAAAGAGACAAATTTGATCATATTATTATAGAAACGACAGGTATGCGATGTTCGTAGGATTTTTCAGATTTTAATTGTGCAATGTGAGGTAGGGGCTAGTTATAATTTTAAAAGGCTCGGGTGCATTTGGGATTGATTACGAGTTGGAAAAAATTTTTGGTCTGTAGCCAAAATGCAGATTTGGATGTTGGGTTGCCTTTGTATTTGACTTCTAATGAAAGTTTTAACGTCGTATGATAATCTACCCTCAGAAAAAAGGGGAGAAAGGGAAGAAAATAAATTCGCCCCATTAGAGCCTCGATTTGTCATGGACTTCTCATTCTTTGGCCTGTAACAGTTTCATAATAGCCTTCTTATTCTTTCTACTTAACATACGTTGCATATATAAGCATAAGTTAAGTGAGTGAGGCAAAATTTATCATTTCACATGTTGACTGCATCGGTATAGACACAAAAAGCTTGACTACTTTGTTATTTACGAATTCTTTTTTTGCAGGACTTGCTAAGCCAGGCCCAGTTATAGAAACATTCTGCTCTGATGAGCTGGTTTCGCGTTATGTGAAACTGGATGGAGTTGTTACTATGGTGGACTCCAAGCATGCCTTGCAACATTTGAATGAAGTAAAACCAAGATTTGTTGTAAACGAGGCAGTAGAACAAGTTGCTTATGCTGACCGAATTATATTGAACAAGGTCAATTTTGATTTCGTCCCTGAAAGCGTTTACCATACTTGTTGGTTAATTTCTTCATCATACTATCATCTTACTGATGCTCATACTTCATATCCTTCTGAACCAAAAAAGGAATTAATGTTTCTTACTATTTGTTCTAACCTTTTGGCAGAAAGATTTGGTGTCTGAGGATGAAATGAAGAGATTGACTATGAAAATCAAGGTAAGATTTTCATTTATATAATCACATATTGAAGGATCAGTCTAAGTTGAACCCTAATATGTATGAGATTGAATCAGTTGTACAAACCCAAAGTTGAATCATATATTAAATTAATCCAAAGCTCACTTTGAATTTTTGAGTGGATGTTTGTGAGTTTCATTTGCTTCTGTGGCTTAGACTGTTGCAGTGAAATCTGAAAATTTTCTATTCTTGCTTTGGAATGCTAATTCCATATTGAGTCTGGACACTTTAACATGAAGCCATGAACAGAGACACGGTAGTTCCGCTTCCAAACATATATCGGCATTTTCTTATTTGTATTTGAACCGTATTTTGGTTGCATCTTTTGAGGCTTCTAATTTGGATACGCTTCTACCTTCTGTCTTGAAATTGTTGTTAACACTGCACAGCTTTCATGCTTTTGATTCTTTTTCCAGCATATCAATGGGATGGCTCCAATTAAGCTAGCCAAATATGGCTCTGTTGACATGGCCTTTGTTTTGGGAGTGGGAGGATATGATCTCGAAAGGTTACTGCTACTCCCTTTGAGTGAGGGATCCCATGAAATCTTTCTCTTTCGTTTCATTTCTTTTAACTATAATTGTTCTCCTAGTAAATATATTTTTCCTCGACTCATACTCAAACAAACAAGAAAACTGCAAAATATTCTGATTTTAGAAAACATATCTGTTCTTTATAGTGTAGTATGAACTCATGTACTTGGATACTTTGATTTCTGCAGAATTGATTCAGAAGTTCATGTAGACAATCCCTGCAGTTCGACACATCAACATGGGACTGCACAAGGTTGCCATTTTGTCATTGTTTCTCTTTTCTGTAATCACTTTCCACTCTATTTGCTACATGTGACCTATTGAAGTTAATTTTATCACGAAGCAGCAATTGTTCGGTGATTATTTGATGAGAGATTGTGCATTGAATGAATTTCTTAGCCTGGCATAAAACTTTGTATCGTCAAATGTTTACCATTTCAGAAACCTTCTTCTCTATTTTGTTGTCATTTTGAGCAATCATTTACTTGGGATGTGTGTTTATGAAAGATTTGGCATTTTTGACCGACTTATAGTTGCCTTCTATGTTCTGCATATCCCATGGACAGAAGCCATGTCCTCCAGTGCTGATGAGGTGTTTTTGTTGTCGGAATTTCGGAGGGTTTGAGATTATTGTGAGTCTTAAATGAGAGGTCTTACAGTCGATCAATTTCATGAAATACTGTGATGACTGATGACCAAAACTAGAACAAAATGGAACATGCATTGTCTATGCTTCTTTGATAGCTGTGGCCACTCATCAGATATCCAGGGGTGAAACTTTTTGAAGCCATTCTAGGCTTGGCAGGCGTGAATCATGATTATGATGTAACCTCAGGGGCAAAAAATTTCTAAAAATTATGTTCCTCAAGTTTCCCTTCTCACCCCTTCCTAAACGGCAAAACAAACAAGAAAAGGCCGAAGAGAAGGAAAACCAAACCAATTGAAAGCACTTGTAGCCTTCCTTTTTGCTATCGTTATTTCCCTTATCTGTTCATATTTGTCCTGCCATCAGAGTTCAAAATTTAATTTAGCTTCCTTTGATATCCACGTTTTTCTAACACAACTGTTATGGTTGATTGCAGAACACCATGGAATGCATCATCACGACCACGTGCATGATTCTGCTGTATCTAGTGTCAGTATAGTTTCTGAGGGAAGGCTTGATCTTGATGAGGTATTGCACTTTGGTCCTTTTGTTATGGATTAAATCACAGCATACTTCCATTCAAGAACATCTAGCATCTTACGTACTATATACACTTTGGTGAGATGGATTTCTCGTATTCACTCTCTCTTCTTTTTTCGTTGTTTTTTTTTTTGGTGGACATCCATAAACACTAGTTGGATTAATTAAGCAGCAATTTGTTGACAGAATATGGGTACCTCTCTCTCTTTTTTCTTGATGAGTTAATTGGAATGCTCTAAATAGGTGATTACCAAATTATTTACTTGCTCAAATGTCAATTATAAATCACAACTCAATTTAATGTGATCCCTCCATTTAGGACCACATTGACCAAATTTGATGTAGCCACCTTGCATATATGATGGTTATGTTGATGTTTTTATTTTATTTATATGTTAATGGATCTACTTATTTCCGACCATCTCTAAGGTTTCTTGTCTTCAATTTGGAAGAAAGAGACAAACATTCTGATGTATAATGGTGAGGAAATTTAATAATTCCTTTTTGGTTGTAAATGGATCAGGTCGACGATTGGCTTGAAAGGCTAATTGAAGAAAAAGGTGAGGACTTGTACCGGATGAAAGGTGTCTTGTCCGTCACCAGCTCTGATCAACGATATATTTTCCAGGTTTTTCCTCCTCATTTTGTTGCGCTTTATTTATTAACAAATCATACCTTTAGGCATTTTGCAGATTCAAACCTGGCTTTTTTTTTTTCTTTTGTTTTTTTTTTTTTAATCAAAATCTTGACCTCCTTCCATGGTGTTTTTCTTTCAGGGGGTGCATTCTTTTTTGGATGAAACTGTACTCAGAAATTTAGATGAAACTGTACTCAGAAAAGGTTTTAAAGGTTGCCTAGTGTGAAGAAGAGTTATGTTAGAAATAGCATCACCAAATAGTGTGGCATTTCTAGGGAGAATTCGTTGTTAAGATTATTGTAAAAAGCCAAAAGTAATTCATTTTTCATGTTGATATCCACTTTAAATTAGGGATGAATTAATACAACGATTACGATATTCCAAAGCCTGAAGTCCTTAGAATGTTACAAAACAAAGTTGCCTCATGGTCCCATATGCAAGAATCGCAAGTAGGGAAATCTTCTTCATCAATCCAACCGCTCTTAGTAAATTTGCTACAGTTGCATGTTCTTCCATGGTTCTTGGGTTCTGCTGGTCCAATACCAGCTTCACTTTTATCTATCCACATGCTGCGAACAATTCCTTTTAGCTTGTTTCTACACTGTCTAATTGATTTGGAGCTCTTCAAAGAAGAAAGCAGTTCTAAACCCTCTTGTTTAAATTGCCCACCATAGCATACAAGGATAATACCACATACATATGTTGCTTCTGCATGCCCTTTTTCTGCCGCGTTCTTTAAGTATTGGAATCCAGATACTGGTTTCTTAGAACTAAAATACTCAACCATTCCTTGTCTAAATAAAGCTTCAGGATTTCCATTCTCCTTGCAACGGTCCAAGAAAGAGGAGGCATCGTGGCTAATCCTCCATGGTATAACTGGGAATTTCTCTAGTGTGATTTGCTAAAAAATATAGTTCTCTGATGCTACTTCAAGAAATTCCTTGCAACTTAATTTAGCTGTGAAGAGATCTGAAAACGATGCTGAGGCCACGCGAGCAAGAACTTCTGTTAATAAATCTTTGGGAAAGTTTTTGAAAAACTCATGAGAATTCGTTTTTCTTCTTCCTTTTGTCATGTTTTTCTTTCTGCTTACGAAAGCCATTGACTATCAACCAAAAATTAAAAAACTTGTTTTGCAGCACCTCTGTCAAAAAAAAAAAAAAAAAAAAAAAGAACGAAAAAGAAGTAAGTGCCTCGCACCTCTATACTCTAGTTTGTGTCGAGAAATAATGTATAATTGTATTTAATTTGCAAAAATTATTTTAATCATATTACTGCATGTTTATTCAGATGTCATACACACACACACGATATTGCAAAAGTTGAACGTATACGTGGGATTGTGACTGACAGGGCAAAAGTTGAAGTCAAAATTGAGAAGTTTTTTTAAAATATTAAATAAGCATCAATTCTCTTATTCAATTGCCGATATATATATTCACTAGCTCAAAAATTTGTGATATATATATATTATTTAAAAACCAAAATTTTTAATGAAGGACCAACAAGACGTTACTACAGCTTTTTATTAGATTATTAACAAGGTTAATTTGAAAAATAAATAAAAATTCAAGATCTTTCTTTTTCATTAATTCATTACTTCTGATTCTTGACGTTCGTAAACTAAAAATTATGATCATTCAATATAATTATATATACATATATAAAGTAAAGATAGAGTTCATTATTAAAAAAAATAAAAGATAGAGTTGAAATTTATGAAAGAAAAAGAAGGAAAAAAAAAGAAAAAAAGAGAGCATACCTGGGTTTGACAAACCACTATTGAACACACATTAGATTTTATAGCAGGTAGGAGCGCATCGGTCTAGCTTAGAAGAAACATCTTCTGTCTTCTCTTTTCTCTCTTTTATATTCTGTTTGATTAAAGGCTGACCTGAAACTATATATATGTATATGAACGGACTAAAGCTGTTGTAAATCCTAACTGATAAGGAAAACCTATGTATCCAAACTCTACAAGGATTAGGTTTCTTTTTAGTTGACAGATCACAACTTGTACGTCTACAAGCATCCAATTAATATACACTTACGTAAAAATAAATAAATCATAAAATAATTTTGTTCAACTGGATTGATATAATAGCGTGGAAACCGACTAATTGTATATGAAATAAAAGACGTGTGGACTTCCATTGTAGGTTTGCATATCGGCGGCATAGATGATTAAAAATAAAGCCCTCGTTGTCATTAACCGCCATTGCCATCCCTACCATTTCCAAGCCTACTAAGCTATTTTGCAAAGGAAAAACAGGAAAAAAAAAAGCAGGAGGGAGGAGCAGCTTTTTCTGAACATGGAGGAGGGCAGTTTAAGAACCCTCGCATGGAGATAATGAGAGGGAAACTGGCATTGTAAAATGTGATGAAGGGTCAAGTGTACTCGGGGAGGAGCAGTTGAGGAGGTCTCCAAGTTTTGATTTTGCAAGTGAGAATTATGTTATTAATGAGTCTTCCATAAAATCTTGTAAATGTTCCTCGGCATTGGACGGGGATGGAAATTTTGAAATGAAATCTTGTTCCAGTGGGATGTCTGATGCAGAGGATGTACGCCCTTTTAAGAGGGTTAAAATTTGCGAAGAAAATTCTGATTCAGGAATGTCATATGAAAAGCTCTTGAGACGGTCTCCCAGGATAAATTCTGTTATTGTGGCTGAAAATGGAAAAATAAATTCAACTAAGACGCACTCTCCAAAGAAGAATTCTGGTAAACAACGGTCTTCAGAGAAGGCTTCTTCAGGGAAGAAGCAGAGGAAACATGAAGGTAATTGTTCCCTTATTGGAGATCCTGTCTCCAATGATGAAGCTCAAGAAAGGTGGCATTGGCGATATGAAATGAAGGTGACTAATAAATTCTTGTCCTATTTTTTTTTTTTCCTTTTTACTTGATTTTCAGTACATAGTTGGCACTCTTTTTTATTGCATGCTCATTTCAGTATTAGGTAATATGGGGGGCTCTAAATGGGTGATTATAGTTATATTTGTACTTAGTTCTTCTGACAACTTTTTGGCTGTGAAACTTCAGTGGTGCCAACTGTGAAAATTTGGCAACCATATTAGACTGAGTTACAAATCTTAAGATAATCTGATGTTGTATTATTTTATTATCCAATCAAGTAAGTGGTTCATTGCCTCATCAGAATTCTGTTCTCCCTCTTGCTGGTAGATGTATGTCAATCATGACTGATTAGCTGTATATGAATTTGTTGCACTAGGACACCTAATCGAGGCATGTGCTCTCACTGATTTTCAAATTAACCTTTGGTTGCAGATTTTCTTTTATGTAATTCTCATAGCAACGATGTGTCTTGATAGGTAATATAGGTTCAAATGCTGCTGGGATTGTGCCTAATAACATCAATTTTACCTGTTACAAAAGATGATTATCAATCTGATTTTTTTCCCCTTTTCTTTTCTTTCTTGACAGAATTTGATTAATAATTGAACATGCAGAATCGGATGATAAGATAACCCTCCTCATAACCAAAAAAAGAAAACAAATACATATACAGTGACTGTCCCATCTTGCATATTGATGAAGGAAAGCCCCTTCAAAAAAAACTGCTCTTATTCCGAATGTGGCACAAATTATGGATAAGAATCTATCTAATTTTAAATATATGTAGCTAGCAGGCATGCTGTTTGTGCATTTCGAATTATGCAATGAAATGATCTTTACTCTCTAGTTTTACAATGATTGTCTCCTATACTCGCTCTTATTTCGTTAATAACATGTAGAAAGATCTTGTATGGTTAGCCTATTCAGAAAATCATTCTATTTTAGGAAGTAGATCATTAGTCTCTTAAGTATTTAGGGTCAATTTCCTAAATAGTAGCTGTCACTATAATTTAGGGATTTATATGTTTTTTCCTAAAGAAACAAATTAGGAAAAGATCTCTCGCCTATAAATATGTATAGTCTTACCTCAATGTACGGAATAATAAAAAATATATTTCTCTCATAGAAACTTTCATTTTATCAAAGTCTAGTTCCCTTATTCAGCTATTTGTTGTCCACCCAATTGTCTCTTGCCTAACCCTAATATATCTCTCCTAGTGTCCCGTCCTTGAAGCTACCAAACAATGAGTTCAAGAAAGGAGACTTTATGTGTATCCCTAAGTACCGCATCCGAATCCACGTAGTCATAAGTGGTTTTGTAGTCCTTTGAAGGATCGTCACTCGCAAATAACCAACAATAGATTGGATGGTAAGAACTTTCTTCAATGGTCCCAATCGGTTCTCATGGCTATCCGAGGGAGAGGAAAGTTGGGATACGTCACTCGGAGAGACTCGGCGACCCAATATAGGGGAACCGAGGCTATGCTAAGTAGGAACTCAATAACTCGCTAGTCATGGCATGGCCGATCAACTCAATGTAACCTCACATCGGTTCCACCTACCTATTTCTCCGAACTCGCCAAAGCAATTTGGGATGCTTGTCATTATGAACTACTCGACCTCGAAAATACATCTCAAGTTTTTTAGATTAAAAATCAACTAAAGGAAATACGATAAGGTAGTATGGATGTAACCGAGTATTATAATGAGTTACAAATACTTTGGCGTGAGTTGGATATGCATTATGAAGCTGATTGGGGAGATCTTGAAGTCAATGCGAAGTTCAAAAGGCATTTAGAGAAGGAAAGATTGTATGAATTCTTGATTGGCTTTACACGTGAGCTCGATGAGGTGCGAGGAAGGATACTAGGGCATAAACCATTGTCCTCTATTGATGAAGCATTTACGAAGTAAGACGAAAAGCCGGTAGGAGACGTGTTATGCTTGGTGGAAAAAGGGACTCCATGTCCGACTTGATTGGAGAAAGGTCGGCCGATACGGCGACTCTTGTTGTACGCAATTCCTATAACGAGAGGGGGACGTCCTTGGTGCAACCACTGCAATAGAGCTGGTCATACCCGTGATAATTGTTAGGATATCCATAGAAAACCAATGGACTGGAAGCCTCGAGGAACAAAAAAAAAAGGGTTTTCAAGTAACGATAAAGGAGAAAACTAAGGAAATAAGTTCTAGCAATGAGTCAAAATGGTGTATTCCTAAGCAAGTCTCAATTGAGATAATTGCAAAAATTGTTGGGTCAATCAACACCTGAGTAATACGATTATTAGTGGTTACGCCCATAAAGGTATAGCTCTTCATGCAAAAAATACAAATAATTGGATGCTTGAATCCGGAGCATCCGACCATATGATAGGTAACTTGTCTCTATTTTCAACCTATACTCCTTGTCACGAGAATTTCGAGTTAAAGTAGCAGATGATACGTTTTCTCCTGTCATTGGAAAAGGCTTAATCCATCTCTCAAAGGAAATTTCTTTGAGTTTTGTCCTTTATGTACCAAACCTTGCTTGTAACTTGATCTCCATTAGCAAGATTACTAGTGAGCTTAAGCTGTATTGTTGTCTTTTTTGGCAACTCTTGTATACTTGCAGGACTTAGAATCGGGGAGGATGTTGTCGGTGTTACCATATATAGATAGCATTTATTTTAATATAACTGCTGTATATTTGGTTATATTGTACAACTATAATTAGAGGTAAATCGGCCTATAATATTGTCGATAATCACTACTTAGATTGTACAGCTATAGCTTGAGGCAAATTAGCCTATAATCACTCTGTACTCATCTATTTATTGAAATGAAAGAGAAGAGAAAGGCATGCGGTATTCAACCAAAATTCTCTATGTTTTGTCAAGCTTTTCATGGTATCGAGCCACTCATTTAAAAGTGTGAAATATTCTTTTTGAGAGGTTGTTCTTGGTTTGTTCGGTTCTTGGTATATCATCTCGGTGTTGCCTTTTGGATTTCGGGTGCTATTTTTTAGTATCTTGTGGAAGCATTTTGGTATTTTTTTTTCTCTATTTTGGTATTTCGTGTGGCTACTTCGGAAATTTCTTGTTTCTTTGTGATCTCGCTTTCGTTTTTTTTAATACTTTCAAATGGTCGATGGCAAATCGACTCGAATTTTGTGTTAAGTTCACTCGGAAAGAATTATGCAACATGGGAATTTCAATTCCAATTATATGTTACTGGAAAAGAGTCGTGGGGACATATCGATGGGACTCGTTCCAGCTCCAAAAGATGCTACTCAAGCGGCTCAATGGAAAATTAAAGATGCTTGGGTGATGTCTTGGATTACGAGTTCTTGTGATTCTCAAATTGTTCTTAATTTGCACCCATATAAAACTTCTAAAGTCTGTGTGAGAATATCTGAAAAAGGTTTATTATTAAAGGAACTCGGCTAGAAGATTTTAATTGGAGTGTGAGATTGCAAATTACACTCGGGAAGTCGGTTTATTCGGGAGTATTTTTTTGGTTTTCAAAATTTATGGATTGAATTTTACGGCATCGTTTGTGCTACTCGTGTCCCAAGATTCTCTCTCCGATATATTGGTTGTTCATGAAGTTAGCAAGCGTGATCAATTTACGATGAAATTGAGATCATATTTTGAGAATGCTCACTCTAATATAATGAATCGTCATCCTCCTCCTACTTTGGATGAGTGCTTCGGTGAATTGATTCGTGAAGAACAACGACTTCTTACACAAGCCCATCTTGAACATGAGAAGTTTACTACAATACCAATAGCTTTTGTGGCTCGATCAAGAGGCAAAGGTATAGACATAAGCAAGGTTCAATGCTTTAGTTGTAAAAATTATGGTCATATAGCTGTAAATTGTACCCAAAAATTTTGTAATTACTACAAAAGATCGAGCACATCATCAAAGATTATGGGATTCGTCCCCAAAATCGCCAACACAATGCTTTTCAAGCCACTACAACTATTTTACCTACATCAACAACCGATCGGAATGTTGAACCAACAATCCTTACCCCTGCAATGGTTTAACAAATGATTCTTTTTGCTTTTTCAGCTTTGGGGATTCAAGGTAATGATAATGCATCCTCTACAACTTGGTCGATTGATTACGCAACATCAAATCATATGATCGATTCAGCTAATTTGCTTCAAAATATCCATTCATATCTTGGTTCCGAATATATTCGGAGTTGCTTAATAGAAATACTTTACCTATTATTGCTTGTTGGAGATATTCCTTCGGTTTTCGACAATACTTTTATATCACCTAGACTCTCTAATAATCTCCTCTCTGTTGGACAATTAGTGAAAAATAATTGTAATGTACGTTTTTCTCGTGATGGTTGTTATGTGCGGGATCGGGTGTCGGGACAAGTGATCGCGAAGGGGTCTAAAGTAGGACATTTGTTTTCATTACATGTCTCTATTCCGAGTAATGTTATTTTAGCTTGTTCTACTATTTTCAATAAGAGTGAAGTATGGCATAAACGTTTGGGCCATCCTAATTCTAGTATATTATCTTATTTGTTAAACTCTAAGCTTTTGGGTAATACTTGATCAATTGTGTTCTTCTCGTCTTTCCTTTGATTGTTCAACGTGTAAATTATGAAAAAGTAAAAATCTTTCTTTTCTCGTTGTTGGTAGTCGTGCAATAAAATGCTTTGATATTATTTATAGTGATGTATGGGGAATTTCACCAGTTATTTCTCATAAACATTATAAGTATTTTATGACATTTATTGATGATTATAGTCGCTTCACTTGGATTTATTTTCTTCGTTCTAAATCTAAGGTTTTTTCTATTTTTAAGACTTTCCTTCAATATGTTGAAACTCAATTTTCTACTTGTTATCAAAATCCTTAGATCATATTCTAGAGGAGAATACATGTCTAAAGCATTTCATGAATTTTTAAATCAAAAAGGTATTCTCTCACAATGTTATTATCTTTATACGCCTCAATAAAATGGTTTGGCGAACGAAAGAATCGTTATCTCTTAGAAGTAACCCGAACTTTGTTACTTGAATCATCAATTCCACCTACTTTTTGGGTTGAAGCTTTATCTATAACTCGTTTATCTCATTAATAGGTTGCCTTCTAA